AAACCGTTTTACTTGGTGATTAAACAGACAATCACAGTGGCTAGATTGATGGAGCTGTTTTATATAGCAAGAAAACATGACTCCCCAGTGTCAATTCCGTTTACTTAACTCTGTGCAACTTAGGTAGATCAGAGCCTAAATAATATACGGCAGTGGGATGAATATCCACAAAACGGAGAGACGTGCATCTGAATATAAACAACGTCATGAATTCTTATGAACATGAACGTACAATTCCGACCCAATGGCTCAATGGTAACGTGCTGGCAACGGAACTTCAAGGTCCCGGGTTCTATCCTTGAGGGAATCATGGGTCCACACTACTGAGGAGTCCCGTACTAGGACGAAACAGCTGTCCAGTTCTCCCAGGTTCCCAGTTTTCCTCCAACTTATATCAGTCCATGATGAATACCAACTTCAAAAAAACACTGAATCCCTACAAACCCCCCAAATTGCATACAATTTGATCAAAATCACAAAAAATTGTGGGCAGGTTTTCCTGTTTTTTTCGTTCAACTGTGGACCACCAAATGATAGGATTTCGGTGAACATTTTGAAATTCGTGGTTTAATCAAGAATTCAGTTTTTTGAAAGGTGAAGATACTTCGAACCGTTGCCATTTTAGGATTATAAAAGTAAGTTAAATCTGTTACAGTAAGCTTGATTAAGTGACCAAGATCATTACATAGCTGTTTCATTAAACATGAGGATTCTCTGGCGTACTAGTGAGCTTATGTGGAAACTTGGAACCTTCAAAAAAAACCTGTAAATTCACTCAGTAAAAATGATAGCGTTATTTACCTCCTAATGGGACTGACAAGTGTTCTAAACGTTTACGACACAAACCAACAAGTTGACAGAAGAGGTAGGAAAGCGAAGACCGCACTTCCTTAAAGTGAACGTACAGAAGACACAGGTGAGGAACATACCCAACCAACAACAACAACAACAACAAACACCAATCACCGTCAACGGGAGAAACAAAAATGAAGTAGCCTCTTTCATCTACACCTATCTACGCAGCATCATTTCAAATACAGGAGGTGGCATAGATAAGGACATCAGAGCCATCATACGAAAGACAGCAAAGCAGGCCTTCCTGCATTAACCTGAAACAAGTGTGGAGACATACTCCACTCCACTGCACTCCACTGCACCGCACCGCACTTCACTCCACTCTACTCCACTCAGCATAAAGCGTCAACAACATCCGGATTCTCAACACTAATCTCAGTCAACTCAGTGATTCTATGTGATGGTTCACAGACTTGATGCATCACGAAAAGCATTTCCAACAAACTACAGACATACATCATCAACACCTGCCGCCTACACTCACTCGATACTCACACTGAAGATCAGATGGCCAGAATAGTAAGAATAAACAACAAGTAACTCTGGCTGGCTGGCTGGTTGACTGACTGACTGGCTGACAACAAACCAACCAACAACCCATCACCCAACAAATGTGCAGAAGAAAGTTGAGATGGATCGGATTGGATTGGGTACACACTGAGAAGACCATTCGGAGACACCATGCGCCAGGTCAGGTCAGGTCAGGCCCTCGAGTGAAACCGAAATCGGAAACGACGAGTTGGGTGTCCGTGGTGAGTGTCACATGGAAGAGATTGTGTGAGGAGGAAATGAAAGCTTGTGGGCTGTCATGGAGCCAGGTTCAAAAGATTGCAGAGAAGAGAGTGAAATGGAGACATGTTACTGAAGCCGTATGTTCTATTAGGAACCCAAGGGACAAATAATAATAATAGGGTGATCGTTACAGTCACTCACTCATGTTTTTTTTCAAAAGGAATTTTTAACCATATGCTGAATTGACTTACTGTCATGAAAAGTCAAATATGATGAGGATGTCTGTTTCGTAATTTCTTGGCACATGAAATTTTCCCACTAACATGCTGTGTACAAAAATCAATAAATTTTGTAGACTCCACTATTCAGTGTAAATCTTATCCTATTTAATCAGCGTTACATTAATCTATACAAAAGATGTTTTCACTTTCAAAATACGCTTGTAGTAAACTTAAAAGTTTTGTACTTTCCTGAAAAGTACTTTTTAATTTTTTAATCAAAACTCATCAAGAAATGATATTTGCTCCTGATTGACTAAAATAAAAGTGATTCTCAATGCTGACTTGTTCGCATTTTTAAAGATATTATTCATAAGTGTAATGAAAACAATTGTAAGTTCATAGGTCATTGGTTTAAAATTCCAAGTGCTCACTAAATAACCAAAGATTCTTGCTTCAATATCACAAGGTTCCTATCATGTGATTATTCCTGAAGAGTTCTATAATAAAGTGAGACATTTATTCAATACTTTTTATCATTCACCCATGAAAATCATTATCGAAATTATCACATTTCATTATTCTTGCGTTGTACATGTTGACGATGGAGCTATGGCTAATTGGTGTAAACATTCGACTTTCAACTGATGGGTTGCAGGTTAGGACTCTGCTCCATCAACTAAGGTTTTTGAAACTAGGTAGTATCACCAGGCTTGTGTCTACAGCATGAACTTGCATGTGGTTATTGAGTAGACAACATTAATTCTTGTTACTCTATATGTGAAAATGTCTTTCTGTTCTGTCAGTGATATCTAAGTTAAATATCAAACGTTTTTGCTGGTTCACATATTTCACGATGGTCAAAAGTACAATCACACATTCATACGATCATCATGGGTCCTCATAATAATTTAAGTCACTAAACAACCAATCAATCATTAGTTTTGTCAAATTAATTGCATGATCTTGTAAATAGTCAAATAGTCTAGGCTTCTCTTATTTCCTCGAACGTGAATGATGATGAAAAGTATATATATCTGCATTATCATGATAAATTTTGTACCATGTCGATAAGACTATTTAACCATTGATTTTCATAATCTCAAGGACTGGAGCTAAGTAGCCTACAGTTTTTTACGCGCCCAAAACTGACACTGTTAGGCTTCATGGATAGGTGTATCGTTTCATTTAGACCACCTTTAACCTTTTCTCAACCCAATCCTACTTAAGATAATATTGCGAATTGCACAACACATGTCCAAGTCATTTAAATCACTGAAGGTTCACAACTCCACTCACTGAGTTGCCTTCTTCCTCTAGTACTCTATGCTTAACCTCAACATTATTTACAGTGATTTCACCAGATACCAGCAATACTAAGAAGACATATATGGTCAAAAATCTGTAGCATCCTTATATCTTCCTCTTTTAATGGCTGTGTATCATAGATGTATGATAGGAGAGAGCAAACTGCTGAGCAGTATATTCATCTTTTAATACGTACTCAGATATCTTGCCGATCCCATAAGCGGCTTAAGTCAGAATTCTGCTCGAGGCATTCATAAGACTGAATTATTTTCTCAATGTCTTTGAGTAACAGAACTATTTAGTCGATGTACTTTACGTCAACCAGGGGCATTCTAGAGGTAAATTGATCTGTAAGAAGTTTGACGTATGTAAGTTCATATTTATCAGTTCAACTGAGGATAGTGGACAACTTTAGCAGACACCTCTGGACGCCATTCATCAAAAGGACAACTCTTTGTCATCTCCCTAGACAGCTACGTCAGTCCCAACTGAGATCACTGATGAGCATAATTTTCTTGTTCAGTACTCTTTTCACCCTCAAAATCTGCAATATTGCCTTTAAATGGATGAAGTCGAATGTCACCACTAGACGTTATTCCGATTATGATCGTTAGCAATGGTCGCAAATTTCGAAGTTAAGGAAACTGTAAGGGGCTTAATGTTAATGACAGAAATCGAAGACAAGTGAAAAATGTAGACAGAGGTAGAGAATTTAGCTTACAGTCGAAAGGGCTTTTAACACTGTTAGAAGTGTATCGGTGGTTACTAATTACTGATTTCCCATATCATGTTAATTGATGTCTCCGAGAGATACAGGAAAGAGAAAGTGGCCTAATTTCGTATAACAGTAGGACCTAAATGACAGTTACTTAAGGATGTTCACCCACAAGGGATGCGAATGAATATACCATTTTCAGCATTGAACTTTTCTAACTCTTTCTTCTGACAAGATAAGGCAGCATCAGCTTGGAATGTTGGTTCTTCAGAAAAACTTTACTGCTGCCAAACCTTATATAGTACAAATTCACCTTCAAACCCTGTTCATAAGGTAAATTATCTGCCCTATGAAGAAAACTGCTTTTAGCCTTCCAAATACGAAACACGTCTTTGTGGTACTATAGGAAGGACCTCAAGGAAAAATTGTTCCAGTCAACACAGCTTATGCAGTGGTTGCAAACGGGGAACTCAACCCATACATCAACGCCGATCGAGCATCATGATGTGCGAATCTGTCATACAAATATGCGCCTATAATGCACTTATGTTTAGAAAAGCTTTTAATAACCTTCAAACAAGAAATAACGAAATTTACTGCTCAGTCCCATAAATTGTTACCAACGATTAGTTTCTAATTTTCGAAGATATTCAGCAAGAAACTACATAGCCAGATTTTAATTTTAATGGCGCTAATCAGTGAAACGTGTCTGCAATTTCAAAGAATCTCACTCTATTCAAAAGATTCAAAGAAGCAGTCACTCATGTTGCTATTGAACTGACTTTGAATGTACTTACCACGAATCTTGACGGTCCTCGGTTTAATTCTTCATGAGGTGTTATCATCAGTAGTGCACTGATGATAAGTCTAAATGTAGGATGAAACAGCTGAACAGTTTCTCTTGATTCCTAATGCTTCGTTAGCTGATGCCATCTCGTATAAAGATTAGTTGTTACATGTTAAATGATCACAAATTCAAACACTCAATATCTACCAGAACTCGCTACAAGGATTATGTTTTTTTAAAAGATGGAGAATACCATTCATTACTATGCACCCACAAACACTAAACAGAAGTGAACAGCTTTCTGAAGTTTACTTTTAGAACACCGAAGATTAACGATAGTATAGGACAAAAAGGCCATCAAAAGACAATACAATTTTTGACTTACTTGTATCAATTGTCATTAAGAAGCGTATTGTTTCCCTTCGATAGAACAATATGCCTTGAGCTATTGCATATGGTCCAGCACCAACTACCCCACTAGTCAAAGCAATACTGGCTGCATCGTGTTCTGTACGACAGAATTGACGTCGTACTCGTCGTACACGCTGAAGTCCTGCATCCAGCTGCCGCATTCGTGAAGGATTACCTACGTTTAAAAAGTGTAAATAACCTCTTATGAGATATAAAATATGCTACCTTAACGTAAATTTTCGGTTGTTGCAACTTTACACTGTTATCAAGATGGAAGAAGAAAAACACCAAAGCTGCTGAGAAAACTTCCTAAATTGTGATTTCATCAACCTCAAGCGTAGACTATTTGAAGTCTCTATATTCACTCAGGAAAAAGCCAGTGCATTTCAACAAATAGCCCTCGTCTTTGCGAGACATAAAAGTCTTGAATTCAATCCTGCATGAAGTCTAAGTTGAGCAGATTTCGATAACTTCAAATCAAGATTAAATGCTGGTGCAACACTCCCTGATTTTCATTGCTTCTTCTAGTAGTGCCAGTTTGTGATAAGATCTAGATCCAATCTGATCACATAGAATTAAACGTCTGAGCTGCACGCAAAACTGATGTAGTTAACAGCACTATGAACCATATGCATTTAATTCATCGCATGAATTTCTGTGGTATGATCTCGCTAAAAGTCTTACGACAGATATTATAACCTTAAATGAAATATGTCGAATTATACCACTTTTGGTACCAGTATAGCATTCTCGTGCTAACCAACTACAGAATACACAATTAGTAGTGCTCTTGAAGTATTTATGAAAGGCGGATGAAATCCAAAGACTGCTAGGAGTTGATCATCTTTTCTGTCGAAACAATTTTTTTACATATCATAACAATTTAGTTGACAAATTCCGTGTAAAAAATTGTCTTATGGAAAATAGGTCACAAAGAGTAAGAGAGTTTTCAAACGATGGACTCTAAAAGCCATCCAAAATAACCATATCGCTCTCAATACTCAAGTTCCTTTTTCATGGCCATTTTGTTTTTAGGGACTACTATCCTGTCTGTTTCCTATCAAATCGTTTACCTTAAATCAGTTTTAGTTCATCACTGATCGATAGGCACTAGATAAATGGATCTAGTTACTCAATGTATTACATCAAAATAAATGAACCAGTTTTCAAAGATAAAACTTATAAGTGGACAGTTATATTTCCTGAGTTCATTGTTACAAGCTCTTGGAGACATTTATCTTGACAGACTGAGTATTAGTGTGAAGAAAACAGTGGGACACACTAAGAAGGATAATACAAAAGTCAATTGTCACAGATTTGAAGAATGGCTTGTGTAATTTCATTTTTTATATTACATTTTACAGTATAGATCTGTGAGGCATTGATCTATGTACTCGACTTCTAACCGATGAGTTGTGGGTTCGAATCCAGCCCCATATACTGACGTTTGGGTAACTAGGTTGTATCACTAGTCTTTACACAATAAGTGTGACTCATCGCCCACTGAACGAAAGTTCATCTGATTAGTGAGTGAATTTCCTTTTTTTTACCGACGTTCACAGTCATCCATTGAAAAAAGATAAAGTAACATAGGATATTTGATGGTTACTTTGTAAATGAGTTGAGATCAATGTGAAAGATTATGTATCTAGAAATGTCTGTGTAGGAATTCTCTTTATCAAACGTTAGATAGGTTAAATCACAAGAGGAAATTCAAAAGTTTTTGCAAAATAACTGATAAGTGATATGCTAACAAAAACTTATCAACAAGTTTATTTTCGCCTTCATTTTCAAATGAAATTTGGATCTGAGCAGTTGATCAGAAACTATCTGAATAACTTGCTAATGGATTCTTTAAACGAGAAGCATATCCACACATTAGATGAATCAAATTAAGAGCAATGGAATATTATGCGATAATTGGCTTGCTGGTGGCTAACAGTGAAATCCAGGACACTCGAAATTACAAGTATCAATAAATAACAACTAATATCCATTTCATAAAAGGTCGCTATCATGACTCAGTAGCCTAGTAGATAATGCTGTAGCGTTTGGAGTGATAGGTGATGAGTTTGAGTTTCAAAGGAAACACCATAAGTCACTAGGATGTAGATGATAAGTTCCAAGTAGGATGAAATGCACTTCTTGGGTCCCAGTGCTAGTCATCATGAAGTAAATAGTACTAAAATCAAACATGAAGAATTATTAATGCATCCGTTCAAGGAGTCCAAATGCTACGAGACCGATCAATATGATCCAGCATAAAAATTAACTGGAAATTAAAAGTATCAATAAACAGAAATGATTAATGTTCACCGACGATCTTTTGAAGTTAATCATGCTAAGCTAAAAGTTAACTAGTACTGAAATGATCATCTACAAACATGTAAGCTAGCAAATGTGGAATTTTGAATGTAACTCAAACTGTGAGTAGGTGTAAAGACAAGAAGTTATCCAATAAATATATGTAAATGGCATCAGATTGAGACGAATACTCTTTGCAAAATAAGTTTCACGAGATAAATATTCACTGAGAACTGCAATATACTCGCTAGTCGTTTCATCCAGGCTGAAAATTCGTCATTACAAAATAGTAAATTAAACAGACAGTCATTTGACGCTTCAAAAACCAAAGAGGCATTCAGTTAAAAGGTTTAGAGGGGACTCATCATCTGCTTAGTATTCACCATAAATCAACATTAGCTAGAGAGATATTTGAAACCACGGTGTTCTAGGTGGCTGTAGCATCCTAACTTTGGATACCATGACCTTATCCAAGCAAGTTTCCACCCAACATCAACAAGGTCTTGGTGCCAAGAGTTTATCATTCAGTTTGAATGCACCATATTTCCAAATTCTTTCAGTTCAACACAATTCGGTAAAAATCAATACGTTAAATTATCATATAAGTTAACTCAGTGTATAAATATTTATTAGCTCATTTGCATTACTCAAAAAACAGTTTACTTGATATATCCAGTGTTTTTGTTCGTTGTGAAAATTGATTATTTGTAATTGGTACACTTAGTAACGATCCACTTGGAAGATTTGATGGTTGCTGAACTTCTTTAACTAACGCGATCGTTTCAGACATATACTGTTTCTCTAAACTAATCATTCGTTTTATTGCAACTATCGACTCAATAAATCTATAAATAGACAAGTATTAAAAATTTAAATTTGTTAAGGTAAACTATAGAGTAAAAGGAGCAAAAATTAAGTCCATCAAATTAACTTTCATAATAATATGTGGTGGAGGAACACTTGAATTTCAAGATATACATAATGAGGTGTAAAGTATTCTTCAAGCTGGAATGACTTGGATCAAAGTATTCTATGACATTCTGACCATTATTCGTTCAGTGAGTTGCGAATTGATGAAAACAATGATTTATTCAAGCGTGTTTTCTATTAGCTTAATAAGTTGATTGACATCGTCTTTATCAAGTTGATTGAATGTCTCGCTTACGAGGTCCGAATATTGATCTGATTGGTTGTTTTGAATATATAACTGAATTATCACAAGTGTATCCGAATGACGTTTTAGAAATCGCCTAAAGGTTAAATCTTACTTGTTTAACGTTGGTTAGTCGCCAAAATTGCAGCGGATAGGTTGTTTATCATCATCTGATATGCTGAAGAGACTTCATCGTTTTCAAAACCACAGTCGCCACATAGTTATATCCCTGTAGTGACTACTTCATATAGCCAATGTTATTTATATGTAGCTGCGAAGAGTGAGAAGAGGAACACACTCTAAATAGACCGACGAAAAAACCCAACGAGAAGATTTCGATTTTGCCAATCACGATGATGATGATGATGATGGTGATTTATGTCTAATGTCTCGTTGCACAAACTCGAAGATCTACACGCAATAACCAACAAGTTGACAGAAGAGGTAGGACAGCGAAGACCGCACTTCCTTAAAGTGAACGCACAGAAGACACAGGTGAGGAACATACCCAACCAACAACAACAACAACAACAAACACCAATCACCGTCAACGGGAGAAACAAAAATGAAGTAGCCTCTTTCATCTACACCTATCTACGCAGCATCATTTCAAATACAGGAGGTGGCATAGATGAGGACATCAGAGCCATCATACGAAAGACAGCAAAACAGGCCTTCCTGCATTAACCTGAAACTAGTGTGGAGACATACTCCACTCCACTCCACTCCACTGCACCGCACCGCACCGCACTTCACTCCACTCCACTCCACTCAGCATAAAGCATCAACAACATCCGGATTCTCAACACTAATCTCAGTCAACTCAGTGATTCTATGTGATGGTTCACAGACTTGATGCATCACGAAAAGCATTTCCAACAAACTACAGACATACATCATCAACACCTGCCGCCTACACTCACTCGATACTCACACTGAAGATCAGATGGCCAGAATAGTAAGAATGAACAACAAGCAACTCTGGCTGGCTGGCTGGCTGGCTGGCTGGCTGGCTGGCTGGCTGGCTGGCTGGCTGGCTGGCTGGCTGGCTGGCTGGCTGGCTGGCTGGCTGGCTGGCTGGCTGGCTGGCTGGCTGGCTGGCTGGCTGGCTGGCTGGCTGGCTGGCTGGCTGGCTGGCTGGCTGGCTGGCTGGCTGGCTGGCTGGCTGGCTGGCTGGCTGGCTGACAACGAACCAACCAACAACCCATCACCCAACAAATATGTTGGAGAAAGTGGATTGGGCATACACTGAGAAGACTATTCGGGGACATCACGCGCCAGGTCAGGTCAGGTCAGGTCAGGCCAGGCCCTCGAGTGAAACCGAAATCGGAAACGACCAGTTGGGTGTCTGAGGTGAGGGTCACATGGAGGGGATCATGTGAGGAGGAAATGAAAGCTTGTGGGCAGTTGTGGATCCAGGTTCAGGGGACTGTAGAGAAGAGAGTGAACTGGAGACGTGCTACTGAAGCCGTATGTTCCACTAGGAACCCAAAGGACAAATAGTAATAATAAATAATTTGTGTAGACGGTTGACAAAGAACATGCAGATTTCATTCCTTGATTTTAGCTCATTGTTTTCGATAAGTGGAAAAGGTGAAAAGATAACAGAAAATGTATTGCAACATGAAAAATATCTACAAAATACAAGGGTTTGTACATATTTACAATGACCTTGGCTATTCCGAAGCCTTTCTAGATTGGAATGTTGTATTGATTTTCGGCCCTAGAAACAATCTGATAATAACACATGGGTTCATGCGCTTTTTCTCTGAACTTCTGTGCAACGTGATTAGTTATAGAAAGCTTCAGGGATTTGGAGCTTTTTATGAAGATTATGGTAATGTAATTCCACACTATAATAATTGCATATTTGTTTCCATAAGTCAGTAAACTATGAAGTACAAGGAGTGATTATCATGACTCGGTGGTCTAGTGGATAACACTGACGTTTGAAGCGATTAGTTTCGAGTCTCGACAGGCAGGTATGTCAAGCTGATAAGTCCCAGGTAGGACGAAATGCGTATATTGGATTCCACTGCTAGGCACTATCTATCATAAATTCTTGGAAACTGTTTGTTAATATAAACTTTGTAACTCCCGGTTGTTTACTTCCCTCAAATTATCTCAGTTGTACTTGACTTAGAGAGTTTGATCGTTCTGACCACAGTTGGTAGATGTTTCTATTTATTGTTTTTTTATGAATTTGACCTTCATCAACTTGTTTAAAGTACCCAAAACTATTTGTCCCTTAATTGTTATTTCATTTGATTACAAAATTTAGCGAATATATAAAGTCCAAAAAAGAAAGCATAGTTCTGTGATGACTAGGTCGAATAGCCAATCGATTGTGTAGAAAAGATTAGCATAAATAATCGTAAGGAAAATCTTTGTCTCTTTTTATTTTCGACTTCCATTGGAAATGATAGCTGGAGTGTCATTCGACTCTCAGATGATGTCACCTTGAAGAAGACTTTTACATCAAGATGTTAAAGTGTGCTTTAGAAACTATCTAACTAGTTGCTTCAGTACAGCACAAATGTGCGTTATTTCAGGCTGAAAAAACTCCACAAATCATAGCAAAAGATAGTTCCGAATGATTAACAAAGTGAACATATCGATGAAGAATGACGAAAACATTCATTGAAGTTCAGACTATGTCAACAAAAATTCAAGTTTTGATGGAAGAGCAAAGTCTTTCGAGTCAGTTATCGGTTATTGTCTAGTGCTCATTGATGACTTGCTTTAGGGTGGATTTCATGAAGTCCTAATAAGAAGTCGTCATCGCCTGTTAGGTTTGAGGACAAATACTTAACGATAATATTGCGTAGTGGTTGCGCTATATCGCAAATCGACAGAATTAGGAAAATGTAGACCATTTGATTCTGACAAAGTGGCTGAGTAGTAACATTCTCAGCATGAAGCCTAGTGATTTTGAACTCGATCCACGGCGGAATCATCAGCAAGCCCTACTGAAGAGTTCTAAACTAGAACGAAACAGTTGTTTAGTGCCCCAAGTTTCCAGTGGTACCCCAAATGATTTCATTCCGAGATGAATACTACCTTGAAATCCATCAACCAATCACTTGATGGGTTTTTTATTTTCTATAAAATCTTTCAGCCCTTCCAAAATGTTAAGACTGAAATATAGTAGCTACATAAATTACTTTTGTCTGAGTTTAATTTCTTTAAAGCTTTTTTCATCCTATTTTTATCCCAACAGTCACAGCTTACTAAATGAAATAAATGTTGATAGCACGCTGAATGCATGTCACAACTATCACGGTCAATACAAGTTCATATTTTCATCACATGATCTATTTCACACAACTTCATTCAATAGTTACTTCCGAAACTTGCACATAGAAAAATACTGATCATGCTTGCTAAACCCTGGGGTTATGTTTCATCATCATCATAAATCAGACAATCAAACGAGTTACTTGTGAATTGCGCGCTAATATTTGTTGGTAGCTGAACATGTATTAGGATGCCATGAATAAACCAAGTACATCAAACGTTGTCTGTTATTTCAAAGATTACCGTAAATGCTTCGCCGGTGAAGATCAAAATATGATCAGCATAGTACTCAGAACTCATCCTTCAGGTCTACCACAACATACAGTGCAAAACGTTTGCCTGTTTTAACTCTGACTTACCAGATCATACCTTATTGTTACAATTTGTCATTTATGAGTGTAATTCTCAGTAATAAGAATTATACAAGTGTACGGGCTCAGCTGGCCAACAATTCATGAATAATATGAAATGCATACATCTTAGATGTATTCGTTAGCCCTCACATTCTAATAATATCTCAGTTTACATTGACTGATTACTGGAGAGCAACCAATCTCATTTTGTCTAGTCCTCAGGGCTGACCGAATTCTATTAGTCATTTTTTCCAATATGGCCACCAAACTAGGAAGTTCAACATCGCAGTACGCTTTGATGGGTGTTAGTTGGCTGGAGGCGATCGGTACCAAGCCTTCGACTTAGGATTCATGCTTGTCGATAATCATCATCAAGGTGTATCCGCAACCTCAAGGGTACTGATGTCCCCTGTGAGATTCGAAACCGTGTCACCTAGTATTAGTCAGTGACGTTACCACTGAGCTATTCGGGCTGTGACTGACGACCTGTAGGAACGGATATTGCAGTTTGATGGGGAGTATATGTGGTCTAGACTTCTTGCACAGTTATCTCAAATACTAACAATGACTGGTCAGTTCACTCCACCAAGTCAACACTAAAAGGCTGAAGTGATGAATCCTAGAAACCTAAGTGTTGAATGCTTAACGTACAAAAATATATGAGAAAGGATTTGAAAGAAATCCAGCTAAACATTTTCATCAAAAATGGCAACCAGTGGATATGCTTTTATAAATAAACATCTTATTCAGTGGATTTATAAGAGCATTCATCTCAACAGTTAGAGTACAGTTTATCAGATATTGAAAGAGTGTATCATTTCATCTTTTTCCCATATTCCGTGTGAAAATGTACACAAAAACTGAAAATTAAAATGTCTTGTAGTCAAATACTAATGTTCTCATCATTTGGACTGTTAATGTCATGTAAAGAGAGAAAACTCAAACCTATAATAGTTCAAAAACTAAGAAACCCAAAAAGAATTGGACAGCTATCTCTTTGCGGTTCAGAACTGCCTATTGAAGACCACTTACATCCTCTGAC